TTAAACAAATCCCATTTTGTCATTTTTATTTTAGTTTGTTAGCTTAAGTCAAGGCAATTTTTTTTTTTTAAATCTACAGTCATTTTTAAAAGTGTCAGCTATTTCTAAGTCAATATAAATATTATAGCTTAACACAAACCGGTGGACTGGTTTGGATCGGGCTCTTTAACAATTCTTGCTCAAACCCTTACGCAGCTGCGGGGAACAGGCCAACGGCAGAGCACGCAGGGCAAGCGCGCTACAGCAGCCAGAACCGTCTAAAACTCAGAACGCTCTCTGCAACTGCTGTGCGGTACACTTCTACGTTAATGAGAAAAGCATCCCCCAAACGAACTAGTTTTCTTGTATTAGTACTTCCTTAATGAATACATGTAGCACTATCCCAACATTGACATATGCCATTCAGACAGATGTCACGCCCATAACCCTCTTACAGAGGGTAGATCTCTTTATGGAGTTTATTGGGTGACATCTGCTTGAATGGCAGATGCCCACATCTTTTCAAATACACGCAGCTTTGCTGAAAAACCAACTGATCCCCAGTTTTTACTGGAAGTACACTTCCTTTAAAAACAAAACAAAACAAGCTACCGAATTATACTACCCATAATTTCCTGCTTCCTTGCAGACACCTAATGACAAATTGCAAGAACCTAGATTGAACGTAATTCTAGATCAATTTGATATACACTTATCTATTAGATACACTTGCCAAAATGCTTCGGAATTCTAGTTAGCGCACACGAAAACTCCATTAAAAATTAAATTTACTCATTTAACAACCTGAATCCCTGAATTAACACTCCATTCTTAATTGTAACAGAACAGATTGAGAGACAGAGAAGAGAGAGTGTGTATTTTCACTGCTTTCTTAGTTAGCATCTGAAAGAGATGGCATTTTCTTTAAATGACAAAACCTCGCTTTTCTGGTGTTTTCCACAATAGCCAGTGCATGATATGGTAGTTGGTTTCCCAATGAGTGATTAAATACAAATTAAAAGCTTCTTTGATCTCTCTACAACAGACATTGGAGATACAAAAATGTATGTGACAGGGTCTGTAGAAGGTTCTCAGGTTTGGTCTAACCTACTT